CTCTAGTATTTAAAGCCCCAAAACAAGATTGAGACCCCATTGTGCTAGGCGCTGTACAAATAATGAGACTGTGCCTTTCCCAAAGGATTTACAATCTAATATAATAGAACTTTGGTGAAGATGAAGCATTCAAGAAGAATTTGAAATAAAGATGAGTGGATGGATAGGAGAAAAATATGAAGGAAAGAGGCTTTCTTAAATTTAATCATGTGACAAAGTCAGCACTGAGAAAATATAACTAAAATTAAAGCATCTACAATGTAGTCATGTTTCACTGAAATACTGAACTTGGACTTTTAATTTCAGCAATTAAGGCTTGGCTTTCTATGATAGTTATTTGAATTGAAAGAGTGCTTATAACTTGTGTCTGAGTGCTATGTCTTATCCCAGCTTTAAGTCTTGTGTAATAATTTTGTCCATAGTTCGGACATGTTTGTCCACAGATATAATCACTATGTTGTGGCAAAAACACTCTAGCTTCTCAAAATATATTTCCAAGTAAACTTACTTCTATTTATAAAGCAATTGGATAAAATTTTCAGAAGTGCCTGCATGCCTTAGGAGCTGATGTCTCATGGAAACTCATTAAGTGAGGCTTCTGAAGGTTTGTCTACATTTCGAGCTGAATGTGTAATTATCAGTGTGAGGAGACATATCCATGTTAGCTCTCATTGAGCTAGCATGCTAAAAATAGAGAATAGCCACAGTGGCAGGAGGGGCTAGCCACCCTGAGTATGCCTCTAGCATCTCAGATAGGTACATACTTTGGGGCAACTACCCCTCCCAGCATGGCAGCTACACTCTATTTTTAGCATGCTAGTTTGATCAAAGCTAATGTGAGAATATCTCCCTGTGCAGGGAATCACAACTGCAGCTCTGATATAGATATACCCTGATTGCCTAGGTCTCTTTTGAAGATGGGTTATAGGTGCTTTTGAAAGTTTTAGCCATTATCATATTGAAGGCAAATATTATGCAGAACTTAACATTTTTTAAGTGGCAAGGTTTTTTTTCAATTGACTAAGGATTTGGAATGCCTGTTTTGGGGCACCCAAAACTTAAAGGGCTCTGTTTTTCTGAAACACTAAGTGCCCACTTTCTCACAGTCAGGCCACTTTCAGATACCTTGAGCTGGACACCCAAAAACTAATGCACACCAAATCACTAGCTGGTTGAAAATCTTTTCCCAAAGTATTTAGAATTCCATCAGGTGACAAAGAAAAAGGTGATGCCTTAGTGCAGGGGTGTGCAAGCTATGGCCCGCAGGCCGGCTCTGGCCCCTCAGGGCTTTGGATCCGGCCTGTGGGATTACCACCCCTGCCTTAGTGTCATGATTATCTTCTCACTACTTTGTACTGTCTTCTAGCTTCTTTGCCATTTACTTTCCAAATGCAAATACTTTTCAGTGTTTTATAGTAAGAGGCCATCGGGTGGTAAGCATGTGGGCTCTTTAAGTTATGATTTAGTTTTAAAAAGACACGTCAGTGTTGGCTCTTCAGGCTGAATGCCCAGTGATTCCATTAATGACAATTTCTTTATTAAAATAGATTTCTACTCTAAATACGTTTGGAACATACATGAACACAAAAACTCATTGAGCTGTTGCAGGGAATAGCAAATGAATTAAAAAGTGTTTGTTAGTCTATAAAAAATAGATATTTGATATTCCTTTGACAAAAGAATTTTAAGTACTATATATGGAACTAATGAGTGAGAAAATGAAACCAAACTTTTATGGCTACCTATTGCATATAGGATGCCACTAGAGGGACTTGTACAGCCAGAAGTATCTTGCCTGAGATTCTGAAAGAACCTTGGAGAAATTAATAAATAATGAAAACATTTATGAGTCATATCTACATTTTTATTTTTAAATCTAATGTGAAGAAAAAAAAGACTGTTTGCTATCTGTTTATCCATGCTCAGCGTCTTCCCAATAACATCTAACTTTCTTGTGCATCCTTTTGATCCTAAAAATATTGCACCAAGCACCTGCTGACAATGCTGTGTATATTATTGCAGTTAACTCTGGAATTTGATATGATTTTCTAATTTTTCTTTAAATAAATACCTTTTTAAAACAATTGTGTTCCACTGGGCTTTACTCCACTTTACAGACAGCTGCATAATTAACAATATCCACTTCTATCTGTGGAAGGAGGAGGAGGACAATGAGCAGCAAAAAATATGTAGTTTGCACACAGTATAGATGAAAAATATTCCATGGGGGAATGGGTTGAAGAATTTTCAAATGAACTATGAGAAAATATCATTTTGAAAGTAATGTTTATCTGACAGACATTTAGCTACATGGCACTGAGTGAACAGTTAATATGTAATTCCCTTTAATTACAATATGAGCACATTGTGAATGGTAGCAAACAATGTTTTTTTGCAATTGCAAATTTTACTATTTATGTATTTAAACAAATTAAATAAAGATGATGTCAATACAAATAGAAAACCATTTTACATCATGAGTAGAACTGTGTGAATTTTTTCAGATGAATAGTTTATTTACGGAAAAAGGCAGCTTTGGGTTAGTTAAATATTAGCAAATTCAGGTCAAAATTTAATAAACTATTTCAGTCAAAAAAGGGATTTTTTGTAAAAGTCAGTGCTTTTGGTTTGATATTTTGAAATTTAACTTTTTGACTTTATTTCAAAACAATGTTTTTTTTTAAAAGCTAGATGTATTTAAAAACAATCTTCCCTTCCCCTGAAAAACTACATAAAATGAATGAAAAATCAGAAAAAAGTTTTCATTAGACTCTAAACAATTTTTTTTCCTGTGGGTTTTTTTTTTTGGCTTAGCTAGCAAACAAACAAGCAAACAATTATTCACTTAGATCTAATCATGAGTCAATAAGAAAAAAGCAAGCTATTAAGTCCTCTGCTGAAATATTTAAAATGACAGTTACAATGGCTTAATGGTTTGGGAACACACGTGATTTATAGTAACATAAAGGAAATGAATGAATATACTGCAGTATACCTATACTTCTATTTAACACATTTCAAATTTTTAAAGGGACATGATCAAGTCAAATTTTACCTGTAATTCTGATTTTATAAAAATAAGTTTTTACAAAAGCCAAGATCACTAGTAATATTTGTGATTTTTAAACATAACCAGTATTTACAATCCAAATATTGCAGCCCTGTGCTACCTGAAAATAAAATTGGCTAGATAATGAAACTGACAAGACAACTCATTGTCCAGGGCAGGAGAAATGCAAGAGATAACAGCATAATTCTCTAAATTATTTTAATATAAGGTATATTTTCAATATTAATAGGTATTTTTTTAAAAATTGGGAAATTCTGTGCTGACATGTGGTGTAACACAGCAGAATCTGGCTTCTAAGTTTTAATCTGACAGTGCCCCTACAAATATTATAGAACATTTTTCTTTGAGATAAAGTGACAATTATATGAACTTTTGAACTCAGACTTGAGCAGACTGTTATGGGCTAAAATTTGATGTTTAAATACTATCACCAGAAAAAGAATTCAAGTTAGAGTTAATGTTACATAGCAAGAACAATTCAGTTTTATGGTATTTTTATCATGTCTTTTAAAAATGTTTAATTGATATTTTAACTTTGCAACCTAAATAGTAGTGTGCTGATAAATTGACAAGATTTGGTGTGGGGAAATAAAAAATTATATTGGGACAATGAAGAGAAAAGACTCTTTGAATAACCAAAAGAGGGGAAAGGCTAAGCTTTTCAACAAGACCTTTTAAATTATGCTAAAATATAATTGGTTAACATACAAATATTCTTAAATTAATATTCCTGGGCAACAGAATTTACCAATAAACCCTCAAATCTCTAAATTTCCTTCTGACAAGTTCAGTACTTTCTTTTAGTTCTTCATACAACAATGTTTTAGCAGAATTGTTTTCAAGTGACTTTTAAATAACAGGGTTGAGCAGAATGTGAGAAATGCAGCAGTACCTATGGGTAAATAGATAAAAAATGTCTTGCTATGACCCTGTGTTGCTGTCTATTTTAGGTAATACATGAGCTTCCCTCACCTCCCAATGTTTCCAGTTCGATTACTTCTCCACATTTTTGATATAACTGTTATTCAATAATGATGTAAAATAAATCATTGAAGAAGCAAGGCATGAAGACATGAATGGAATTTGTAGAGTGATGGATCTTTTAAGGAATAAATCCAACATGAGGACAAACTAGTACATCATTCATTTCTCACTTAGTTTTCAAATAGTCCAAAAAAAAAGTCTAATGTTGTAGTATTTATTATTATTCATTATTTTAAAATTTACAATGAAAATGGTATTTTCTTTGATTATAAGTACATAAAGTTTTAAAGGTTTCAGTTTAAGTTTGTACATTCTTTACTTTATGCTTTAAGGACCTGATCCTGCAAACATATAGGGTAACATTTTCCTAAGTGACCAAATAATTTAGTCCTATTTTCAAAAGTGACAAGGGTTTTGGCACATAAGAACTTGTCTTATTGAATGTAAGTGCGTATTTTATTTTTTTTAAAAAGGGGCTTAGGCGCTTTAGAAAATTGTACCCATAATAATAAGACAAGATTTATGAAAATATGAAATAGTCACATTGAATTAAATGGTACTACTCATGTGAGTAAATTAATCATATGCATATGTGTTTGGTGGATCTGGAACATTAGTTAATTAGTCAACTGCTCATTACTAAAGTAGAATTTTCAGTTACAACTGAATCCCATTTGTGTACAAATAAATCAAATAGGCATTCAAGAATTTTTCTGGTGGGAAAAAGCTATATTCAATAAAAATTTAGATATAATTTTCAGAGGGGTATGTTGAGGGGAAAGTTATTTTTTTCCTGTTGAACTGGTATTGTCTAAAGTGACTGCAACTAAATGGGAGTAAAAGTGAGAAAAAATAGCATCTTTCCTTGTCACTTCACTCCCCTTTAGGAATTGCAGGACTATGTGCATAAGTTCATTTCTGTATGCTTTTACCTTCTTTTTTATAGGTCTCTTTGGATACATTGAGAAAGTGAAAATAGAAGGCTACATAACAGGAACAAGACAGGAGCAAAGAGACTCCATTAAACTCAACTAGGTATTAAGCACTGTACCTAACTAGTATGTTTTAGAAAATAAAATTGACTGTTAAAGTAATATCAGCATTATCTTTCACAAACATTAATACCCAACAAGGCTATACCACATCAAAGTTCCAAGAATATGCAATAGCAGCAGCAGCAGCTTCCTGTCAGAGGGGGCATTGAAAACTCTCTCCGCCTTTGGAGAGGAGTGGGAGAAAACTGAGGGCCCCAGTAGTAGTCAGTTGGTCTTTTTAAACCAAAATAACTCTTTATTATAATTACAGATGACCCAATTTATAAGTTAATGTGATGAAATCTTAGTGAAGCTAGGGCTGCATAATATTATTTATCATTGTATTAGTGAGATTGCAGAACACACAGATACATAACATTTTAAATGGCTACTGCTCCCATCAGCACTGACCTTAAATTTTACCCTTGCCATCTCTTGAAAGGGAATAGCTATAGAAAGATCATGCTTTTAAAGGGTATGGGGAAAAAAATCTGATTTGTGTGAGCCTAATGACCGCACTACACCTAAAGCAGGGGGTGGGGAGGACATGGCGGATGTTGTCCAGGCTTCCAGGAGGAAGACAGTAGTGCTTTATGGCAGCGGGAGCCAGGGAAACAAGGTCAGAAACTGCTGCAAAAAGAAGGGGGCTGGTCAGCCTTGCAGCGCTGACTCACTTCCTTGGAATGTAAGGGCAGAAGGCTCGAAAGGTGCAAGCCCTGGCATAGGAAACCCCTTTCTCCATGCAACAGGCAAGACAGCACCCATGCTCCCTCCCCTTGAGATGTGATTAGCAGGTGGGGTTTGAATCTGCTGTGGGCATTGCACTAGTGGCCCCTTTTTAGGGGGGCTGGGAAGGAATTTTTCCCTCACCACCATATTGGCTTCAGTGGAGTGGGGTTATTTTGCCTTCCACGCAGTGGGGATCAGGGAAGACCTATTATGGTGAGGAGGAAAAGGGGTAGGCTATATGTCGCAACTTATTTTGTAAGTGTGGGGCGGATGTCCAGAGCAGGTGCTCCATAGGGAAGGCATCCAGTGATCAGATAAATGGCCTGGTAAAGGACTTAAAAAAGGAGGTGCTGGTTAAAGGAATGGAATGGAATGGGAGCGTGGGAGTTGGACTCTTATGGTTGGTACAGCAGGGAGCCAACCCCCCATTCTTCCCTCCTATGAGGGGGGGGTGAATGGTAAGGTCCCGGCAATAGACCTGGATGGAAAAATGAGGGGGAGCAGGTGGAAGCCCCCCAGGTCATTACAGAATAAACAGGGGGTTACCTGCACTGTACACTTTTATCTGCTGGTTAGTCCCAGATGTTTAAGAATGAAGTTGCTGCCTGATTAAATCCATATCCATATCAAGTGTCTCCTATCCTTCTTTCAGTATAGCTGGACAACATGTTCTTGGAATAGCTCTTAAAACTAAGTTGGTCCAGGATCATAAGGTCAAGTAAAAAATTTGCATTTGTTAATAGTTTTGTGGTACAGTTATCTGTTGATTTATGGACATAATCTTGGCTTAGCTGATATTTCATAATATGAAAGAACAAATACTGATCTTAACTAATATATTCCTTGTTTTCTGTTTCTCTTTGATTAGACTTCTGAATTCAAGTAAGAAAGTCTTGTCACTGCATAAAGTGTGAAATATGCATATTTTGGGGGGTCAGGGGTAATGTTTTAAATTAAACCTGACATTTCTGAGCCTAGTGTGAAGGTGTCCATCTTGCTGAAAAAATTATGCCATTTGTAATTGACTTTCATGTGAAATGATCTCTCATTTGACAGTAGCTATAAGAGAGCTTACAGAAAAGACTAATTAAAGTGGGCTGGAACTGGGTTTTCACTTTCACTCCATGAGTACCCTCATGCTGACAGTTTCATAAGTGACATTGCTATTCAGAAAGGTGGAAAACTCTTGCTCTGGTCTTAAAAATGCCAATTTTAGGCCTGTAGTGTTGTACAAGAGTCTGTCATTATCTATTCACAAGTGGTTTTTTTTCTTTATAGTTTATTTGCTGAAAACTGCAATTTTGGGTTGACTTCAAATTATTTGTGAATTTGTGTCAAACTTGCTGAATAGTTTTTGATTGAACCAAAAACAAAGAAAAACTCAGTGTTTTGGAAATGTCAAAACAAAATGTTTCTTTTTAATTTTTTTTTCCAATTTTTTCCTGTTGAGGGTTTCCCAGCTCTTAAATGAATGCCCTATCCACTGGACTATGGGATATTCTGTTATAGATTTCTATATCTATATGTCTCAAACTCCTGCTGAATCTGTTCTATTTTTATAAATAATTAAATACCCATTAAAGCAGTGACTTGAACTTAGCTCTCTCACATCTATGGGGAGTACCCTAACCAGAAGACCATAAAATCATTCTCATACTTTTCCTGCCCTAATGATTATTCATTGTAATTATGAATGAACTGAATTCTAAAGAAAGCTCTAGGTTGCTTTACCCCCAAGTTACTGGTTACATGGTTGGAACCCTGTAACAGTGCACTGGAACCAGTTAAATGCCTGATATGAGATAGCAGAGGATAGGCCCATAGCTTCTCTTTCCCAGTGTTAAATTAATAAAGTTGCAGCCTGTCACTTGAATTCATCCCATGCATCTATCATTCATTGCCTGTGTGTCCTGATCAAGCCACAAGGGGTAGTTTACATCACACTCTGTTAATCTCTTTGTTACATGCTTTGGCAAATGTACAGTGATTTGTAACTTAATAGGATCTCCAGTTGGACTCATTATCTTCTTTCATACATCATCCACACTTGTTCTACCCTGGTTGGTTTACCTAGATCCTTCATTACTGATACCAAGTCTCTTATTCTGGGAAAGAAATTATTGTTGCATCTCTAGCCTGAGTTCTACCCCATCACTGTAGTTTCTTTCTGATCTTGACCCAGACATCTCTATGGAATTCCCCACATTCAAACCACAAGGCAAAAATGGAACAATTCCTATATGGACTATGGGACTTCTAGAAAGTAATTTTTTCAGGTTAGTAAACACTTTGGGGAGGGTCGGTCTTTTTGTTCTGTGTTTATACAGTACCTTGCACAATGGAGTCCTGATCCATGACTAGGGGTCCTGGGAGCTATGGTAATAGAAATAAATAATGATAGTGTGAAACTGCTATACTTGTGATTTTGTTTGTTTGTTTTTCATCTTTACATTTCAAAGAATTGTGCCTGAGGGCAGAAACAGCAGCTATTTCTCTTTTCAGAGGTGCTGCAGCCTGTTACAGAAGAAACATACATTATGCTCTTATGTGGTTTATTTTTTTCTTTGGGTTTCCTTAATCAAAACTAAATAATTTAACATTAAATACATATTTTTGCCCTTTGTGCATGAAAACATATGTATTGTGTATGATACCTTTCAAATGTAAATGTACAATTATATTTATTTGGAAGCAACTTTATTATTTTAAATTTAAAACTTTAAAACCACATGACACAATGTATATATTCTTGGGAGCTTTTAAGATTGTTGAGCTGACTACAGATTGTATGGAAAAACTAGGACTCCCTCCTAGCCTTGACAACCACAGCACACACTGAAAGGTTTCCTTCAAGTAATATTTAGCATTTACCTAACTTATGGAGACAAACTTCTGAGGGAAAATTAAACAAATTAATAACCCCAGAATGGAATTATGCAGAAAACAACACAATGCTTAAAAGTAAGGCATGGCTACAGAGGCATGTCCTCACTGTCTGATCTCTTTTTAAATTCACTTAAAGAAGGGGCTGTCTATTTTAGAAGGTTGTAGTTACAATCTAGGTTAATGAAAATGGATCCTACCTGTCTGAAATAGCACTCTCCTAAGATATGGAACTATCATTAGGTACATCATACTACACCATCGCTTATAAAACAAAAACAAAAAGTACTTGATTACATGTACAAACAGAGCTTAATAATGGATTTTGCTTTGTTAAGTACACAGTGATTAAGTATTCAAGATATGCTGCAATATTTTATGTTTTCCATTAAGGGCTTGCCTATTGCACCATTTCCAGACTGTAAATTATTTAAGTCAGTTGAACATTGTGCCTTGAATAATTTATTTACTATGAAATTGTAAATTACAATATCCTGTCAAATTTCATGCAATCTAGTGTAAGTAATCAAATATATTGAAGTTTGATATTATTGGTTATATGAACTCCATCAAAAAACTGGTAAGAAAATGCAAAATAAACTTTAATTAGGTATTCGAGGAACAGAAAGGGAAAGACATTAGACTAGCAAAAAATAAACAAAACAAAAAAAACACCACCCCAGCCGCAGATAATTCTGTATTTTTTTTTAAAGTTTCTTAAAAGTTTTCATATTCAGACAATTGTAATCTTTGGCACTCCAAACTTTGTATGTTTCATGTAAGTAGTGAGGATATTTTACAGATTTTGATTATGCTTTATAGCAATTTCTTTTTAATAGCTCACTTTGTTTAGATATTGATGACTGACTGCAATTGTTAAATCTCTTCTGAAAATAAATATAATTTGCATTGGCTAATAAAAAAAGCCATTTCTAAAATGAGGTAATTTGACTAATCTTTTCAATAAAAACCAAAACAAAACATATACATGTTGAAAAATAGTACATTTTAAAATGTTCATACTCTTTCAACTTTATCCTATGGCTTAATGGCAGACAAAAAATTTGAGTGACATTTCAGGTTAAACAGGAGTAAATGTTCCTTCATTCAGTGTATTGTAGTGAAGTGTATGGGACTAACTTGTGGGAGTAAGGCAATCTAGATTTGGTTCAAGGAACAGCATAACTACTCAACAGTGGGGAAATAAAACACAGGACTGTTACAACAATGGAAAGGTTAAAACAAACTTGGATTATTACTGTCAGAAGCATACTGTTAAATAACTGTAATATGTTTAGAATTAGAGCTAGTCTAACCGTGGAAAAATTGTGAATAAGTTATTCTCTAACACAGGGGTCGGCAACGTTTGGCACGCCGCTCGCCAGGGTA